TGAATCAAGACTGTCATGTTTGGTTGTAGAGGTCTGGGACAAGGCTACAACAATCATGAGTGCTCATAAGTTCTGAGCATTGGACTCAACCCACGCTCACTGGAATCACTTCATGGAATTCTATCTCGAGTGATCGTGAGACGGTAATATCATATAAGTCTTTAAACCTAGAGATATGATTTGTTACTTACAAGTTGGTTATGCATTGATTGTACGAAAAACGCATTGGTAACTCGATGTTATAAAATCGTGCTCTTGTGTGTAATTCAATGAGTAGTAGAACAAACATATGAGTCGAAGTTTATCTGTTCCTTCTTGGATTAGAAGCTGATATCTGGGCCCCTCGATGATTTTGTTTTGACCTATGTACCGGGCCCGGTCAGAACTAAATTGATGTGTTCAATGAAGTTCTTTGTCAAACAAATCGGAAATCGGGAAACAAATGTTGGACAATAAGTAAGACATTGTTCCATGTATTTGTCCGACTGATATCTAGAACAGAGGATTATATGATCACTTATCTTAAATGGCGTACCATCATCTTCTCAGTTTCGAGAAACCTTGTAAAGAGCTACGATTGCCGATCGGTTCCTGAAGTCATACTTGCAGTAATAGTTATTAGACTTATCCAAGTGGGAGACTGTTGGATAAGGTGTCTAAGTCCATAACTATTTCTGGTATGTACTTGACCCGACCCGGCATGGTCCATTTGGGTTGCATGGCACCATGCAATTGGATAGACTAAATGAGAGAAATAACACTTGGAGATTATTAATATATTATAAGTTCTAATATATTAATAATATTATTTGATTAGTTTGATCAAGAATTAATTTAGAATTAATTAAGTGATCAAAAGATAACTAATTAAATATATGGGTTGATTATGTAAATCATCCATATCTTGTATAGTGGGCTAAAAGGCTCCATGGACTATCAAGTTGGGTTCCACCCATAGGATGCTCCATGGATGCTCCATGGGAGTTACAAACCCATGGGTCATGGAAATGAAGAGTCATGACACATTAGGGTTTAACCCTAGATGTGTCAACACTATATAAGTAACATGTTCTCCACCCAAAATCGGCTACACTAAGAAACAAGAGGGCTTGGCCGATTTTGAAGAAGTGAGTATTCTCTCATAAGTTCTTCCAAGAGCATTTGGTGTTGTGTGAAGCATTTGAGGCATCACACTTGGGGTGCTAGGCTCACAAGGTTTCAAGGAACACAACAACAACAAGGTAAGTTATTCTATCTATACTTTATGTTAAAATTGTTCCCCATGTATGCTAGATAGGAATATAACCTTGGAATTCAACTTTGCATGACAATTAGACAAACATAGATCCAAGGTTATTAGGGTTGCATGTACACTTAGGAAGTGTTAGAATGCTCAAAACCATCAGCTTTCTAGATGGATTTTTGGGTTATTTTCAAATACCCATAGAACCCAATGGACCAAGAAAAGACCACATTCACATGCCCAATGTAACGCCTGTGTTTCCGGGCTTGCCATTTTTAGCAATGTAATGGTCTAGGTTAACCTTTGTAACCCGTTTTAAATAATAAGATTGTATTATTTGAGTATTATGTGTTTTGTGCTTAATTGCTTAATTATGTGGTTTGATTAATTAAGAATAAAAAGAGTAAATTACACGAATGGTCCCTATGTTTAGGGTAATTTACACGTTTGTCCCTAACTTATTTTTTTAATTCGGAAGGTCCCTACTGTTTGCTTTATTACATGTTTGGTCCCTACTTTGTGTTTTTGTTATGTGCTTGGTCCCTGTCTTTCCTAAAAATATTATTATTTAAATAGGAAAAATAGTGGATAAGTAAGGTAAGGTGAGTGGGTGAATTGTGGGTGTGTTTATCTAAATAAATTAAAAAACCAAGGGAAAAATAATCTTTTTAACTAAGACAGGGACCAAACGCGTAACAAAAACAAACAGTAGGGACCTACCGAGTTAAAAAAATAAGTTAGGGACCAAACGCGCAAATTTCCCTAAACCATAGGGACCATTCGTGTAATTTACTCGAATAAAAATAAGCGTCAAAATTTAAGTGTAAAATAAACTTGATATCTTTAGATAATGTTGTAGTAGTTGAAACAAGGTTTCCGGAGATATAAAGAATGCCGAAATCCGAGTTATAACGAGGAAGTTATGACCTGTCAAAGTTTCGCGACAGAACCGGCAACGCTGATTAACGTAAAAAAGTGAAATTTACGTTAGAGCGATACTTAGCCTTAGTGATCTAAACGAGAATAGAAGATCTCGTTGTTAGTATCAAAGCGATAAAAAGTTAGGCGAGAACGGACGTCAAACGAAAAAGTTATGAATTTATAACGAACTTTTCTGTCCCGGCCTATTAAAAATAAATAATAAAAATAAATTCAAAATTAGCCGACGGAGTCTAAACGAAAGTTGTAGAGCATAGTCTCACCTTTCCGTGGATATCAAGAACGTTGAAAACGGAGTTCATATGAAGAAGATATGAATTTCCGAAGTTTATTAATTAATTTGTATTTATTTTTAAATCAAAATTCGGAAGCATTATCCGAAGGTGAGTCACAGGTCTGATCCGACTTACGTGCCGCGTAAGTGAGTACGCCCCGCGTACTCCGAAAGTGTCGACATCGCAGCAAGTGGCTTCGGATACGTAAGCGATGACGTTTCTCGGACCAGTACGCCCCGCGTACGAGAGGCTTCCAGCCTCCTATAAATAGGATGCGAGGGGTCCGGGTTTAATTGCTAATTTCCTCTCGTTTTTGTGCCGAAGCTCTGTGTTTTTACCCCTGAAGCCATCCCGAAGCCCCGGTAATATTCCCGAGTCCCGAGATCCCGAAGATCCCGAGAAGTGCGGTTTCCGAGCCGAAGCTCTGCCCGCGAGAAGTTCGATTTTCGTAGAGATCTTCCAGATCTGCGGAGGATTATTAATTTTGCGAGTCGTAGTGCTGTCCGATCATCTTCTGATCATGTGAGTGTATACTACCTTTCATAAACGCAATAATAATACAAGTATGGTTCGAGGGTATTAAGTTATTGTCGTTTATACATGTGAATGCGTTGTTACTTTCTCATAACGTATAACTATGAAGTATTTTATACGAGATACGTGTTATGTGTATATTTTGTTGTTATGTGTGTGAATGTATATTCACTTTCTTCTATCTTACAGATTTGATTATTTCTATACGAAATACGTGTTATGTGTGTGTGCCTCATCTGTTATATGGAAAATGTATTGATCAAGCATGCTATACAGGTTTTAAAAATATGTATAAAAATGTATGTTTTTATCTACTAATATGTTGGGTAGAACATGGGTAGATAGTTGGTGTGTAATAAACAGATGAGAGGCCTCGTTGTTGTTTTGATCCAGTCATCTAGCGGAATTTAGATGACGACCACGGACTTTTCTAGACAGTCTGTGGAACGCTAGCAGGCTCATAACCTGTAGGTGTTAATGAACTTGGGTGTTC